CTCTCTCTCTCTCTCTCTCTCTCTCTCTCTCTCTCTCTCTCTCTCTCTCGTCTTAGTAGCGTATCCTCTATTTAGGCCCGTAGCTGGACTTGTGCAAAATAGTTAACCCGCTATACCTTCTTTCCTTAAACGGACAAGTAAACCAGGTTCAACTTAGTATTCAAGAGTCGCACTGAGCCACATAGAATTAAGAGCGATTCGAGTTGATCCAAAAAGGTTTCTGTTTTAGACAGGTGTAATGAATTCAAGCCGTGAGCAGCGTTGGAGATAAAGTATATGCTCGATAGTTGGCTTTTCCAAACATCCGAATTCACAGTGGTGTTCGTAGGTCAGTAAGTAAAGCCAAGGCCATATTGATGAAAAAACACATGCATTTATGGATGAATCTATGGTCATTTAATAAGTTACAAATCAGCGAGTAAAACCAAGGCCAGATTTCGTGAAACAGTACTGTATACGTAAAATGGATGGATTTTTGAAAATATTATGGACATGGAACTTGAAGCAGGCGAGCAAAGCCAAAGCAGTGTTGGTTAAACAGCTCGTGCGTAGTACATATAATTGATAAAAAGAATATGGAGATGGCCATTATGTAAGGTAGTTGTGCCTTGACCTAATAGAAGTGCTCCAGAGTCATTCCTAGCTAGTGCACCAGTCTATCTTTCGGCGCCTGCGCGGTTAGTCGTTCCATAATCGTCCGTCAAACGTTTCGTGTGCCCGAACTGATTTAAATCTCGGGAATAATTTCGTTGGGGGAAACTCTGGTCGACCATTGAGTCTGACCTGCGATGCAACGTTGCACGTAAGTGTGTATAGACACAATACACAGTCATAGGATGACTCCACTCAAAGCAAACAAAGGAAATCATTTGTATGCAAATGGCGGTGCCAGCAACAATTAACGCAGGGCTTGGAAAAATGGTTGCCGATTTAATTTGCTCGTTAAATTGTAGTGGCAATGAATTTTTCGTAGACCCGATTTTTGTGCAACTTCATACTCCTTATCAATGTATGAAAATAACTCGACATCCCTCTTCGGTGAAAGGCTTTGAAAAGTGCCATTCTTAAAACGTCAAAAATTGCCCATACTTTTCTGGACAACAGCGGGCGCTGCTGCTGTGATGTCATCCACGGCAGACTTGTTTTAGTGTATAGGTTTTTCATTTCAAATTGTGAACCCAAAATTAACTCAGAGAAAACATTTCTGAGAAAGGGTTGCATGTTTGCTTACTGCTATTTACTTCCACAACAACGCATCACCGAAGACAACAACACTGAGGCCAGCAAAATCCTCAAAATTTCAGAACTTTTTGTGCATAAACCCAGATTCTCTTCCTCTGACATCACAGCTTTGCTCATGAATATGGAAATGCTCATTAACATTCATAAGTGCTGGTTCATATGCATGAACGCCGCATTTGACGTTCATACTTTCATGTTTTCTCAAGACGTGTGCGTGTCCCACAAAAGTTTAAAAATTTCAAATTGTCGGAGTACGCATACATTTGGTGCGTACGCACTATCCATTATTTTCACATGCTGCGTGCAAGGGCGCGCATTTTCATTACGCACTGTGCTTTTGTTCACGCACTGCACGCAGACACCTCAAAATAGATCCTCAGTACTCAGTGAATACGCGGCGAGTATGAACTGGCCTTAAGGATGCAGCTAAACACCCTTTAAAACAGTTTTTTTTTAAATGAAAATGGGGTTAACTAGATTAAAGGTGCATTTCGGAGGTTTTAATTCTTTACAATGGCACTGTAGCTACCCTTTAAGCCGCTACAATTTGTTTTTGTTGATTTAGATTACCGAAGGCGTTATTTTCGGGGATATTATATTACACTTTATACCTTTGGAAATCCTGAGAATAAACACACAAGTTGAATATTTTCAAACCTTTGGGACCACTTTTTTCCCTCTCCTTGGACGTCCACAATCCAGTTCCAGAGAAACCATACTATCTTTCTAATTTGCAGCAATGCAAGGTGGATTCAGACATATCAGCAAAGGGTAATGACTGGCGATGCGTTGTCATTTCCAACGACACTTGAATGGTTCAGGTACAACGTAATCGATAATGTATTCGTTGTGCCGATTTGTCCTTTTTCGTCTTGTTGTTTTCAAATCAGAGATGGGCCTCCTCTTGTCGGAAGGACACGTTACAATTTTACGTGTCTTACTTTGGATGTCCGTCATTTCCAGCCCAAATTAAACTGGTCATTCCGACGGTAACCTTCAGTCATGGGTTTAGTAAGGATGGAAACATTTGCGTGCCACATCACATGAGACACAAGGAGATAATGAATTCAGGCATTGAAAGATTTATATAGCAGCAGTTTATAACCGAAATCATAATTGGTGATGGTGAAAATCCAAAGGAAAGGCTTTCGAAGGAATAAGCAGGTAAATTTCGAAGTTATTTTGTTCAATTTATGTATGTAATGAAAACAGACATTCCCTTCGGTCAGTTGCAGGTCACAGTAAGTGGACGATATTGTTTTTACAACTGACGACTCATTCATCCAACCCTTTGTAAAGGGGTCGTTAAATTTAATGGTGCAAAAACGTTCAAACAATTACTTGTCGACGAAACCATAAGATTTGAGTCAACACACAGCAATCTGGTCGAGCACACAGGCAAACGTGTCTAGAATAATCAACTGGTGTCCTTTTTCAAAGCAGGTATTTTGGTGTCTGTCGTGTGGGGAAAGAACACAGAACGTTTCGTTGCTATGTTTCTTCCTTGCTGGTAGCGTGCTACTGCCTTTCTTGTTGGGTTTACAAGGGTTTACAACTCCCATCCCACAGAAAAAAAAGTCAGAAATTTTATTATAATGAGGGATGAACATGAATTGGAACCTGAGAGCGTTACTGTCCAAACATTTGGCATGAGAACTAAGAAAAATTCCACAACAGAGGTGGAAGAGCTCAATTGAAGCATCGACACAAAAATCGCGTAAATTTCAGAACAGAAAAAGGTTTCTCTATCCACCCAACTAGTTCAACAGAGAACAACTTGCGCGTGACTTAATGAACATATCAGTGACGTAGAGCGATAAGCAGCATGAGACGCTTGGAGTGCATTAGGGGTAAAGATCACACATTCACGGTGCTCCATATTTTATTTAAGACACTGGTCTCTAAAGCGCGCCACTCTATGAGGTTACGTGTGCTAAAAGCAGTACGCACTTTGTTCCCGATAGAAGCGCAGCAATTGGCCTAATCGTGTAAACAACACAAAAACTAACATGATCGTCGACATCTGTCTAAGGGTCCTCAAGGTCAAATATTATCTTCCTGAGGGAAGAACAGAAACCAACTCTGTTCAGGACTTTGAACATTCAGGGGCTTTGTCTTGAACAAATAAATCTATTAATTTAAAACCTACATAAATCTAAAGCCCATCAAGCAGATGTGACTAGCTATAATTGATTTTGGGTCACAAGTAAAACGAGTGCAAAAACAAGCAAAACTTTAATTGTTTTTCACTTTACATTTTCACATGAATCGACAGGCAAACTCACGGCTTGACATAACCTTACAAAATCAATGAAACACAGCAGTGCGTCGTGATAAAAACCACCTGCTGCATGACACTTTTCATACAACTGCCAGTTACAACGTAACTGTCGCGACTGCATTTCTCACTCCGATGAGCTTAATTAACGGTAAGGTCAAAATGCTATCACATAATGTTTGAGGCCAGATGGCTGATGAGGGAGCACACTTAGGTCGGTGGGAGATCGTTAATAAATGCCAATAACTTCTACTCTTTAGGGCAAAAAAGGTTTCCTCTATTTTTTGGCTGATTTAGACCGTTTTACTTTTGCTTCTGTCCACTTACAATTCCCTATTTCTTAAAACGAACTGGTCTCTCCAAAAATCGGCAATATGATAATGAGCAAGAAGTGTTCCTCTGAATGTCTACCCCAGCAGCAAAATTCGTACACCAATTGTGTGACTGTGTGTATCAAAAATATTGATTTCACCGACCCTGAATAAAATACTCGATATTCATTTATTAGGCCTGTATGAAAGGATATGTTTCAGAAATGTCTTATTTGAATGGGTCTTTAATTTACAGACAGCTGCGCACGCGCCGACGGCAGGGCAGGAGGAGAACACATTATGCCAAATATTGCTTGATAGACTTTCTCGTGGTTCTGTGGGTCTTGTAATTAAAAGATGGACTTTGGCACATGGAAACGCCCGCTGGCTATCAGTTCAAATGCATTCTGTTTACAGTTTCACTAATTCAATCAATGTTCTTCCTTGACTGCAAAAATAAATCTAACCTTATCTAACAATATCTAAAATTAAATGTATAACTGATTTTACAAAACCACATGTATGCCTGACGTACAAGTTATCCCATTTGGAATTGAAATTGGGAGAAATTTCAGGTTGTCAGTTTAGGGGGTAGGACTTTCTTTAGAAGTGTAAACGATCACACAGAATAGTTTGGTCCAAACCAACAGAAAAAGAGATGTCGGTCGTCGAATTTGCCGAAGTCGCTGCACAGGAGGTAACGATAAGTGTGGGTCTTTGTTCATTTTTATTTTAAATTAGATATCTTAGCGTAGTGAACACGAGATACTGACGAGCTATATCACTGAATATAGAGATATATGTAAAATATATAAGATATAATATAACCCTCCAAAAATCTTCCTAGGCGTACACATTTCCTGGTTTGCTTTCGTCAGACACCGCAGTTTAGTGAAATTAGTGAAATCGCTGTCAAAAATGAAATGAAACCACATACCCTGCTTGCAAACCAGTTCTTGCGAACCGATCCACACAAAATTACATATGCAACGTGCGCCGTCCCAGGAATCTCAGGTGGTATTGCATTACCGCAACATCACATAAAACACGGAAGAGAGGCAGTTGCGGCCTGTTCTGCGCATAACAACGGTCCGATGGCAGAGGATGCCATCTGAAGACATCTTGAATCAAGAGGATTAATGCATCCACAAACTGGAAATGTTTGGAAACTGTGAGAGTAGTTCAGTCTGGATGGATACACGATCGTGAAATCTACAGCTTACCTTTTTTCCACGGAGCAATGCACAGTCTGCGCAAAAATAGCGAACAAGGAGACACTTCGCACGTAACACGGCGGGCGGTACTAATTATATGAATGGGTGAATCTAGCCAGTGTCTCTGCGCTGTGACAGAGACGGGTGTGCGCGCATCGACTGACGGAGGTTGATATTATAATCATGACTCCCGCACGAGGTGTTAGTAATATTCTGATGACCACTATGTGAACACTGATTGTTCCGTTGTGCATAGACTTGACGGCAAGTCGTTAGATAGTTGTGTTTCGTCTGAATTAAGGTCAAAATCCATGGTGCAGCTCTTAGTTAAGATTGACAAAATTTATTGGCCGAGTTCCAACTTATCTCATTAGAAATTCGAAATAACGAATTAGTAATTCGTAATAACAAATTTATTTCCCACTGAAATGTTTTTTTCACTAGCAATAAATGATCTTTCGTACTTTTGTGATTTTAGTTTTTTGGGGGGGTGGGAGAGATAGCGAAGAGCTTACGAGTATTTAAAAGCATATGCGTTGTAAGCTCTACACGTAAACAATGGACGACAGATAATCCGCCTGCAGCAGAAGCACCCCCTCATCCGTACTGGTCGGGGATGTGTCTTTTGTTGGTAGCGACGCGCACGCAACACATGCATCTCATGGTCTCTCGTAATCCAGTGAAGTGAAGTTCCTGCCAAAGGAGCCTCTGTTGCTAAGAAAATCGCGCCCCCTCTTGGTCCAGCAAACTCCGAATGAATCCATTGTTTTAAAAGACCTGCATAATTCTTGTTGCAAGGTCTCTTCCCTGAATTGTCAGACAACTTATCTGGGGCAACGATCACAGCTGCGTGATACACACTGCGTTTTGTCTGAAAGTGTAGCTGCAATGAATTTTTATTTTGCACCATTTTTCTGCATCCTTGTACTTTGCAAGTGAGGGCGCTGTTGCTGTGAAATCATCGAGGGAAGACATGGTTCAGTGCATAGGTGTTTCAAATTGTGAACGCAGAATTCACCGACTGGAAACATTTCTGAGAAAAGGATTGATGTTTTCTTATTGCTATGCACATAAACAACAATGGATCAGCAAAGAAGAGAAAACTGAGTCCGGGAAAATTTACAAAACTGCAGGACTGTTTGCGTACAAACCAATGTAACATTGAGGCTTCTTCCTGAGATGACATCACAGTTTGACTCATGAATATGGAAATCTTATTAGCATAAAAACCAAACAGGTGTTAAAATACCCTTTGAAATAATGAAAAAGAAGTTGAAAATAGGGTTGACTGAGGCAGAAAGGTGCACTTCAGAGGTTTGTAAACCCAAAACTCTATTGCAGCCACCATTTAAAGAAATATTGCCCGTGCGCCTTCATGTGTCAGTACAGAAGCTGTGTCGCATGATGTGGGTACCAGGCTTTGAGCAGGCACCAGAGCTGTTTAAAGAGTTGCGACATGAATGTTTCACTTGTTAGAACTAAAGTGGTGGGCTATGCGTCGGTGCAAAAGGACAATCAGTACACAGGGCCTGTATGCTGCACTATACACATTATTAACAACCATTTTGGTTCCAATGTCGGAACCTTGGCGCTTCTGTCTCTGGACACAGCCCTGGCCGGCACCATTCCACAGCGCCCTCTGTCTGAAACCCTATTCATTGTTTTCAAGAACACGGGTTTGTTTGAATCCCCAACTCATCAACCCAACTCAGACGCACACACACACAAATCCACCTGGGGATGACATACGGTGTCCCTGATGACACTGTGCGCATATACCACCAATTAGCGAGATTGAGCCGCGGATTGGGGTTTTCTTTTTTCACCCAATCAATCCGGGTTAATAAAATCAATGGCGTGAAATCCAATGCATTACTCATAGGAGTTAGTGAGAGGGTAATTGCACATCAGTGAAGGTTGACCTCTCAAACTCCAGATGAGGGGTGGATCTTCTTGAAAAGGGGGGTTATGTTCGAGGGCTATAAACGGTGCAGAGAACACGACACTCCAGGGATTCACGGACAAGTCTAGTTCGATATCTACGTTTTCTCCTGCATTGAGAGATGGTTTTAGGGAAAAAGTGGACCTTCAAAATGGACATTTTCAGTCTTTTACTATTTATCAGCACCAGTATGAATTGCAACCCCCCCCTTCAACTCAGGTGCAGTTCTACTGTGGAGGGGGTAAGGTGGCTCTTAGACTAGCCCCTCACCCCCAAACTTTTGTCTAACCCCCCCAAAAAAATGCAAAATAAAGAAAAACAAAGCATTAGCAAAAAGGTGACGTCACGTGCGAATCTTCTAGCCCCCCCCCCGCCCAAAAAAATGGCTCTAGAACCGCGCCTGCTTCAACTGTCGATTAACTGAATATTAAGGTATATGCGTTTGCTTAGTCTTTTATAGGTTGGTCTACGGGAGTACTGAATATATGTCGTACTTTTGTTCATGAAGTAATTTGACCTTAAATACAGCACTTCCCTTTTGCGACATACATCACAGCCAAACTACATATTTTATACAGTCTGTAGAGCGACAAACGTCCATGTTCATGATACAGTATAATTCATCATGGAGGTTGAACATTTTTTGCTATTCCTAACTGAATCTTAAGTGAATTGTTCGAATAACGCAATATAAACGACTCAAAAGAAAAAGGACCACTTTTTTTACTTAACTTGTAATCTTTTTCCAAGCAATGAGTGGGGTCTAGTTCTTTCATTTTTTGTTTGTCCAGATGGTGTTCTCATTGGAATCACAAGTTTAAAAAAGTTTCAAAACATCAAATGCACATTTTCAGCAGTCGTATAAAAAGTACACACAAAATAAAAAATGGTCCTTACTTTTTGGGGAGTAGTGTATAATAATAAGAAATTCTTTTTACATAATATTTCCTAAGCTGACAAAATATGTACTAGAGAGATTAATTCTTTTTACTGAAGCACTCACACGCACGCACTACAAAGTTTTTCTCGTTTTTTTAAACTTGAGGTTGTTTTTGATGAACCCCCCCGCACAGATTCACTGATGCACGTGACGAGCCTTCGCATTTTCCATATCACGAGCAGCAGCATCGCGTGGGAGCACTTGAAGAAGAATCCTCGTTCTGCCGATCTGACGATCCCCGATCCCCCCCCCCATCCCTTTTCGATTAAAATTTACTTCCATGGTGTTAGCCTCTGCCTGAGTGGGCCTCCCTCCACTCCAACTCTCCGTTCTCGCTGCAACGCTGCACTTTCGCCTCAACGACAAATAAGCAGTGGAGTGAATGCCCGTGCAGTGCGTGTGGTTTCGCAGTTATCCGCCGAAACCCTTCTGTTTCTATGCCTTGCTCTCTCATAAAAGCCACCTAATGATTAAAATCGACAACTTTCAGGAAAAAAAGAGTGGGCTACCAACATTACATGGAAAAATGGTGACACCAGCAAGTCCATAATGAAATGAAGAAACCTCCCAGTTTTGCCTAAAGCAACATATATTCCAACAGAATATTTTCATTTGCAATAAGAGAGTACCGAAATAGGGGTTTCACATAATGGAATGGGGTATTCCTTTTCCCTCAAAACCAAAACATGTTTGGTTCTCAATCTACTCATCATGAAGGATCTGTTATGATGATTATGATCGGTGTAATCATTTTCTCTTCACACAAGCCTCAGCATTTGCACAGGTGGTCGTGTGTCAGTGGCACAAACAAACGCATAGACCACCAGGTCCTATTCAAAACTACAGGGGGTTTTCGTCATGTGCGTGCACGTGGCGCCCGACTAAAATCAAAACTATGGGCAAATTCGCCCCTCGGTATAGGGAGTTAACGCATAGTTGAAGAGTTCCTGTCATAAATTTCTATGAAGCCATTTTTTCGATTAAAAAAAACATCACGGTTTTAAAAAAATGACGGTTTTACGCGCAAGATTGGTGGTCTATGTGTTTATATGTCTGTGGTCTGTGGTATCGAAGAAGTAAGTCTGCTGCCCTCATAAGGCTTAAGACCTTCAACTTGATTGAGAGTGGACATGAATCTGGCGAAATTATCACTCACAGTCGCTTACCTTGGTTCGCGCTTTAGCACACGTTTAGGAACGCGTAGCTTCTGTTGTCACCGAGCGTCAGTTGTTTCGATCTCTAACTGCTACGATTCTATCAGGAAATCTGTTAGATTTAGAAGTTTTTCAGAGCATGACCGCTTCACTTGAGGTGGATGTCTTTACTGCAAAGCGAATCCACACACTTACGATTGTTGCAAGCGTAGCCTACTTCGTTTGAGACTCGCACATTCGGCAAATTAGGCCTATCAAGAACCCTATACTGGTCGACAGTTTCTACCGTGCGCGTACATGACGTGCGTGCAGGCGTGTTATTGACGCACTAACGGCTTCCACAAGTAATACTACGGAAGCCGGATAGTGCCAGGGTGAATATTTTTTTTTTGCGTAGGGGGGTGTAATACTTTTTTTTACCAATTGGGCCGCCACATAATTTGTCAAAAATAGTATTACACCCCCCCCACGCAAAAATGTTCGCCCTGGCACTATCTGGCTTCCGTATAATACAATGTAGATCTTCGGTTTAAGGCTATCCGCTGCGAGCGGTACAAAAGAGGACGTGCTTGTAAATGAATTTGACGGTCCTTTTGGTATCAAATCACCACATAGGTGCGCAGTATATCAACGAATTTATTCCGGTATGTATGGTCTTTGCGTACATGCTGCAACGCCTACAAGTACCCGACTGTAACTATCTGTCTTTCTTTCGCCGATTGGGAATGCACTCAGATCAGGTCGGACAAATCCGATGAGACGCCATTCCGAGGGGCCATTTACACTCACGCAGCTGTTTCACCCTAAGCGCGCGCACTTCGGCACTAAACTACTGCCTATTGGTCAAGGAGGAAATTCACACGCGCGCACCGGCTGCGTGCGAACATGATGGCCCCTTAGTAATGGCTTGTAATTTTGGTCGTCAGATTTGTCTATCCGGTTCGTAAGTATGACGTCACTTAGTTTAATCCACACACTACTTGTGTGTTTGACGTATTCACTTCGGTAAGACCGAGGGAACTACGTCACGTGCACAACTGTGTGTGTACAACAGAGGTAAAAGGCATTAGAGCGAGATTCCGCGCGTAAACCAACACTTGCGCGTACTCCATTCGTTTGCACTACACTTTCTGCGTCACAGTGACGTCATACTTTGGTATTCCATACGCAAACCACTGGATCCAAGGTGAAATAAATCCGGTCTCTAAACCCTTAGATTTGAAAAAGTAAGGTCGGTTTTCTTGGTTACATTTTGGCCTCCAGAGCCTTCTTTTCAGTGAAGTTAGGAGGGTGGCGAGATTGGCTAGGAGAAGGGCAAGTCAACATGACTCCTGTTTATCCAGATGACACGGTCCGGTCCAGCAGCCTCGTATGAGTCCCATCGCCCCTCGGCTGTGTTGACACGCTCATCCGCGATGACAACTCGAGAGGAGGCCTGTTTGCTCTCGCTGAACAATGTTTCTCTTCCCCTGTCTCCATTAGTAGGGGGGCAGCACGCCGAGTCAGGAAACCACGAGTATGACCTCTCATGCTGATGAGGGGATTCCGAAGGTAAATAGTTCTTCCGTGATTCGAATCGCAGGGCGAAAAGTCGTGACACCGTTTCTTGATTTCGATTGTTCTTTTGTTTTTCCCTCCTGGTCCTTTCGTGAAAGCTCGCATTTCTGTGTCACTATTCTTCGTATCTTCCGAAAAAAATCGACCTCTTTTCGCAATAGTTTTTCTGTCACTGTCACCACCGTCGCTATTCTTAACATTCACCCAGAATATCACCAAAAAATCTCCACTGTAACCAACAGTGTTGGTTTTTTTAATCTTCAAACTACATGTACATGTATTTCGCTCTACACAAATATTTTCACACTGGTCTCCATTGTTCAAAATTCACGAATGCATAATGAGGATACAGTTTTTTTCGGCGAGTATTTGTCTTTTTCTCAGTAAACAAATCAAGTTTCTCTCCAATAGGCCTCGGGTTGGTCAAGGCTAAAACAAGCGTCAATTTCAATTTTAGGAAATTAATAAAAAATGAAAATGAAGCTCACGGCCGGATGTTCAGACAAATTCTATGAATATCAGAGTCTAAGCCAACATGAAATAACTAACCGCCACGAACCCAACATGGCGCCATTCGTCCATTGTTTTCCTCACAGCAGGTTTCCGGTGGTTTATTACTTCGATCCAAAAAACAATCCACAAATCGATGGGCCTACACCCTATCCTGTTCTCATGCGTGCTACAGTAATTTGGCCATGGTGCCGCTAGGATGACGTCACCAGGAACGGAGCTCCACCCCCCCCCCAAAAAAAAGCGCGGGCCTTCCCCTCAGCAATTCTAAATTCCTTTAATGAAATCAATATCTTTACATTAATTGAACCCATAAAATGTCCGACGCGAGCCGAGTCACTAGGGTTGAATAATGCCTCTTCCTCCGCAAACTGTACCACGCGCCAGCAACACCGCTCCACTCCCCTCCAGTTTCGAATCGAACGGGTCCAGATGTAATTGAACCCAAGGAGGCCGTGCTCGGCAGCTTAAGTGTAAGCCAAGAGAGAGGCGTCAGACTCAGCTCGAGACGTAGACACGGGAGCAACGGTACATTGCGCGTGGCGTGTCTGAGTGGTCCACAGCCACTGCACCCGCACGAGCGCTTTGGGATTTCGCTCCATTAATAAAAACTCTCCACTGAAGAATCTCGACTTGGATTTTAGTAGTTCGTGGTATTGGGGAAAAAAGGTCGGCTGGGCGTGTGGTGTGTGAGGGGCGTTCTGAAAATTTCGTGGTCAATCTTCAAGATGAATTCGCTGGATTTTGTAAATACGGTGTCGCCGTGGTGGTGTGCGTTCGCACTGATGGTGCTGCAACCCCTCATGCCTGCCAACGTCGCCGGCGACTCGGACTCGACCTGGGCCGTGGGGCTGACGGACCCGGTCCAGGTGCCGGGTGGGCTGATCCGCGGCCAGCGGGTCCGGCTACGGAACCGCCACCTGGGCCCCGTGGAGCAGTACCTGGGCGTGCCCTTCGCCCGGCCGCCCACAGGCCACCTGCGCTTTCGCCCGCCCCAGTTCCCGCCCATCGGCTGGTCCGGGGTGCGCAACGCCACCAAGTTCTCGCCGGCCTGCCCGCAGCTGGTCCGCACAGCCGAAGGGGACTTACCAAGCTGGAAGAGCGAACCTCTCCGTAGCCGCTGGCCCTTCCTTCAAGTCATGGACGAAGATTGCCTATTCCTCAATATCTATGTGCCAGCAAGAGGTGAGTAAAGTAAAACCCTGTACTGAATCATAGCCGTCGGTCTTCCTGTCTAAATGCAAAAAAAGTGCCACTGTTTTTACGCGGGAAAGTGCAGCTTTCAGACTTCATGAAAAGCCTATCGCATTATCAATTTCAAGGATCGGGCAACGAAGAATTATAAGGGACCATAACATTTTTTTTAGTGCGGATGCGCAATACATGCGCGGCTTGGAAAAACTGAATGGCTGTCACCGATCGGTGCAGTTCGAAAACCTATATGAGTATACGCGAGCATACTGATGTGAAATTAGACATTGCTCTAATACAATGAGAAATAATAACCACATGGAGCTGTGATTTAACAACCCAGTTTAATATCAGCGACACACTGATCTGAACAATCTCCGCGGTTATTTTCACAAACTTCCAAATAGCTTATAATCATTGCTTACATCAGCAAGCATCCATCAAGCTGTGGAACCTATGCCTTCCATTACACATTTTTTTCTCCCCTTGAAACCTTAGTAACTTGAGTGGCTTTTAGCCTTCTAATGGACGAAATTCCATTTTCAGAAAATGGCAAGGGGGCGTAGAGCATTTTTTTCCAGCTATGCAATGTGTGAATTGGAAAGTGCACCAGCCTACAGCTTCAGCGTCTTCGATGTCATTACATGTATAAAGTATGCCAGTAAGGGTTTTGTCCCTCGGGAATGGGGCTAGCTTTATAAAGGGCCACCCAATGGGTTTGGCCATACAAACTACTAGTTATCAGTCTTCAGTGTGATAAAGAACAATGAAGCCACGAATCCCAAGTGACGGGAGGGGGCGTGCCCTAAAGTGCCTGTCGCCTGGATGAGATTTTCTTGAGCATAGTTGCATTAATATGAATCAAAGTGGGTCATTACAGTGCGCTTTCTCCGAGGAAATCAAGTTTCACATAAACAAGCTACCTTTCCTTCAGGTGCAACTGATCAAATTTTAATGTGGCCATTCTTTGCAGCAAGCCTTTAAAAGGCACGAGCCACAGTCATCATGCAAGTTAGATCGTAGAAAAAGAAAGCCAAAAAGAGCAAGACTGGACGGCGTACTGGCAGCTTTGCCGTCAAGCCCAGATACACTGTTTTCCCTTTAAAGGCCGCGATGCGAGGTTCCACTCAAGTTTTGAAAATGCAGCCTGCTCGTACTCAAGTACGACAGACTGTCAATTGCTACATACTATCCATTCGGCCGGATGAATTTTAATAAGCTCACAAGTCCAACGGTGTAAGAAAAACACTTCATCGATTCAGCTCAGCTGAACGTACCACTAGAGGGGAAAGCATTAATCCTATTACGACAATATCCCGACTGCCTTCGGTATGGATAGCGTCAATTCTTTATTGACCGTCAAGAGCGCGAATACATGACGCCATGGCACCAAGCTCGCGCGTGCCAAAAAAGCCAACCATTAATCCAGATCACGTGATCGGGTCGTGACGGCGGTATTTTCTAAAAAATGTGTTCACGGCGTGACCAAATTTCGTATCATTTGCACTTGCGACGGATCTTGGGACTTGTTCCTCCTAATGACCAGATCGTTTGACAGCAACACACTCAGCCATATTTCTCTCTCTCTCTCTCTTCCCTTTCTAAAACGGTAAAGATTGCTTTGCACAACTTATTAACAAATTTCCGAGTTGTCCGGGTATCGAGTCACCGCTCTGACCCAAGGACTGGAAATGAGTCACGTCTCTGTCAAAATGTCATTAACTTTGCGTGCTCTCAGTCTGAAAGGAAGATACGCAAAAAAAACTTTATGTTACATGTCCTGCCACATGCAAAAGAGTATTGCATAGTGTCTTGAATGACCAAAATGGGAAAAAGTGTAAATACCAGGAACGTTTTGTCGACATTTTATACATGTATATCAATCTTTTTATCTTTAATTTTGTGTTTTCTTGAATAAAAATTAAACAAGGCGGATGTCAGTATACAGGAAAAATAAATACAAAGTGTAATCTCTCTCTCTGACACGAACAGTGTTTGCACCTGCTATATTTCTATGAGTAGGCCTATAGATTGCGTGGGGTGTGAGATGACAAGAGTCTAATTTCATTCTGAAGTCGAGTAACGAGTTCAGGCGAATCATTAAATCGTGTGATTTTTTACAGTGTCACTTGGATTACGGATGGTGGGAGGGATATAAAATATCACATTTAGCACCGCTGACATCATTCATAATTAATAGAATATTCATGATTCTCATGGCACTTGTTTGTACAGGGTCTTTCCTCCGTGTGCTCATGTCCTTGACGGAGAGAACAGCGGTAGACCTGCTGTTAAATGTGGCACGACACGCATGCGTATACGACGTTTAACAATGTTTTGTGTTGAGCGTTGTGCCTTGTGCGTTTTTTTAATCGAACGCGCTAGATCGGCGAATTCTTCTGGTTTGAGCAGCAGTGATGCTGACGGGAGTATCTCGTGATGCGCCCCAACATTATCGCACTCCCACGCAATGTTGGTCCTTCTGCGCTGCTGGGCTGGATGTCATTTGCGATCACGTCCGGGTGGGGCCTTTCGGTTAGCTTCTAGTGGCTTGGCCGGCGCGTGCGACCCTGGCTTCCTTCACTTTATTTTGCACAGGGCCAGCTGGATTTCTTTTTCGTGAAGGTGGCAATGTTTTATTGGACTCATATCACATTTTGCAGCGGGTACGCATTTCTCACTACTGACAGGTGGCATAATAGCGTTGGGGGAATCGATCAAAGATAGTGTAGATTTAAGCCAGGATTTGTTTATTTCAAGTGTCTCACATGTTCACAAAAGGAAATGTATCTCTAATGCACTTTTTTTCCAAATTTATGAAATATACTCGAGTTGTTGATACCAACTCGCCTTTTGCCCGACTGGCGGAAGAGATAGAGAAATTCTTATGTAAATTTTGCAATCATTGCTCAGCAGTGATGAATCCATTATGTGTGAAGAAGGGGCACCCAAAATGCAGGTGAATCGTGACCATACAAGCCTGTTGGTGTAGGCCTAATGTGTATTACTATTATTAGCTCATCTGGATAAAAGAAATATCCGTCTTTGAAGTTTATCAGATAACCGGTTGACACCACAAAAGAGACAATTCATTCCCTTAAACCAAAAAGCACAGAGGAAAAAGAAGGAAAACAGCAAATTGGTGCTTGCCAGTGCACTTTTAAGCGTTTGTTTCCCGAAGTTATAGTGACGTTGTTTTACTACGCCGATTTCGTACGAAGAGCAAATTGTGTGACAGTTCTGGTTCATACAAGTGGATTTCGAGGGGGTGGAAGATTTATATGCCAAGCAAACATCAGCTGAGAACCAGTCCAAATAAACACGCTCCAGTACTGCGTGACACCTTGACTGGTGGCCGGTGGAAAAATCTTTGCGTTTTTTAGCGAAATTCTGCATTTGACAGCTGAATGAAATTGGGCCTGAGTATCGTTCACTGTTTTATACATATCACAGGAACAAAGAAAAATCGATATCATTTCTTGTATTACGTCCACTACTGTTATACCGAATCGTCACGGTTGGCTATATGGGTGATCGCCTTGTCCATGATTTCTACGAATATTACAGTCAGTTTTCAGGGATGGCAAACACGAAGAAAATAACCACATGTGCAACATGGTAGAAAAAGTCAGTAGGGCCTACCGTTGTAGGGTGAGCCTGCATAATTATGGTCCACTCGGTGACAGACGGTGTCACCCTCTGGATTTGGATCCGAAGAAACAACACGCTCACACCTGCCAGCGCACATGCTGAAAGCCTACCGGATCCGGTAAAAAATATCTGCCGTGGATCAACGGATTGGACTCTTGTTTTTTTATATCTTTCAACTCGAGCCGCACTTCTCAAAAAAGATACATTATACGGCTTGGCGTTATGTTCGGGGCTTGACTAAGCTTGAATAGCGGAAGTGTCGTAAAAAAATTCCACCGCAAGAAGCGGTGAACTTTCGAAGCCGTCGTCGTAACAAGTTCGGGGCTTTTCCCCCCAAGTGCCACCCGCGAGTGGTTTATGGATATAATTTGATTAAAATCCGGGAATCGTTTTATTTACAGTTTCTCAGGGAGGAGTATTTATGAGAAAAATGTGCAGCCGACCGTTGCACACTGGCGTTGGATTCCCCGGAGGGAGAGAGACACGCAAAGATAGATATTGAAGACTCATGAAGCAAGCGAGGAAGACGGGAAGATATTTGATAAACCACTCTCGGCAGCTGGGAAAATCTTGTGGAACACCCACTTCGAGGCCTCGGAGAATTTTAGAGCAGGTCACGGTTCACAACCGAGTAGGGAAAAGGAAATGTAAATTCCCCCTTTAATTTTTTGTCTCACCGTCTGGTCCCAGTTGCACGTACAAACATTCATCTCTCAGTTCCTCGCATTTCGGAAGCTGACTTGTAATTCTAACACCGATTGTTACTAAATCTTGCAGACATCATTGCGCATGCTCTTTGTAATTCTGCAAGCCAGTGGTGCAAGCTACACCTTTTTTAACAATCGTTGCTTCCACAAAAGGAATCAAAATAAGAAAAAACATTAAAACTTGAATATGCCTAATATTCGTATCCGTATTACACCTCTGTGAAGTTAAAACTCACACCTCCATCTACCCGAGTTAACGCGTCTAAAGGTCATAACGGTTTTCGAAGGGCGTCTTCCAAGACATTTGGGTGCCAACATCGAGTCCTGATAATACGAAATTAATTATAATATGGCATTTTCTAATGAGCGACTACTTCCCCTTCCGTGCAAAAGGGGGTCTAGATTTAATAACACCCACACCGCACTTGAGCGATCCTCGCATCTACTCTTCTGCTGATCACACTTCGCCAGGTTCTTAGCACTTTTCTCCGGGCGCCAACTCCCTTGAGGTGAGCTGAGATGTTGACCTATCGTAAGCCGACCTGTTTTTCTCTTTCTCTCCCTGTCGTCCAAGCCTTTCTCCCCCGATGATGCGGTAGTGGAACCCTCATATGGACACCATTCACCTGCAATCCC